TTTTTTTTTTTTTTTAAAGATTTTTTTGGGAGGCCGGAGAGATGGCTCAGTAGAATAAGCGGAATATAGAGGAAAGACTGTCTTGCTGCTTCCTCGCAACTTCCTGTTTCACTGCTTTTGCTCACAGCAAACAGTCCCACTTGTGTGGCAGTGCTGCCTGAGAACTGTCAGGCCATGTTTTGTGCTAGCCACCTGCCGTGAGTTTACTGGGCTAGTGTTTAGAGGTTTGTTTGTTTGTTTTTTTAAGTCCAATTTTCTCCCCTTTGTCTCCTTAAGTTCTTTTTGAACGTAACCTTTTCCTTTTAAATTGCTAGGAGGGGCCAGGAATATAGCTCAGTGGCATAAGCACCTGCCTGGCAAGTGAAAGGTCTCAAGTTCGATCCCTAGTACCAGTCTGTTAATTGCTAGGAACCCCGGCTTTTCTCCTTGAGATGTATCTTGGTCTGTTTCCCACATTGACCTCTAACTCCAGGGCTCAAGTTCTGCTCCTGCATTAACCTCTCAGAGTGCTAGGATTATAGAAGGCAAAGTGCCCCTAATTTTTTTAGTTGTTTTTTCCTGATTCTGAAGAAGAACGTGATGATAATAGAAAGTTTGGAAGTAGTAGAATGGTACCAAAAAGTGCAAATCACTAATACCTGTCTGTCCAAGAGAGTTTGTAGTATTTTATTTTATTTTTTTGTCTTTTTGTAAGTGTCTCACTATGAAGTTTAGGCTGGCATTGAGGTCACTTTGTAACCCAGTGTGGTCTCAAACTCTCGGTGATCCTCCTGCTTCAGCCTTCTGAATGTGGGGATTATAGGCATGCGCCACCACACCTGGCTGAGTTTGTAGTGTTTAATTACTGAAATACTCATTACAGAGTCCTTCACCCATTTGATGTTGTTCTTATAGGAGACAGATTTCTCAGCATTCCATTGAGCTGTGCCTGGAAGGTGACAGTATTAAAAAGAAGTAGCAGAAAATTTGAGACTCCTTTATTTCCCTTTTTCTCTGTGTAGGTGTCTTTCTGTGTCTCGAATTTTAGGATGTAGGCTCTATTGGCATAAACCTGTAATCCCAGCATTTAGGAGGCTGAAGCAGGATTGCTCTTGAGTTCAAGGTCAGCCTGGGCTACAAAATGAGTTCAAGGCCAGCTTGTACTGCTATAGGGAAACCCTGTCTCAAAAAGACAATCATATTGGGAAGAGCAAATTCTAAAGATAAAATATGAAAACAGTCTTGGTTGTTTTTTTCTATTTTGGGTTTTTGGGGTTTTTTTGAGCCTAGGTCTCCTGATGCCTAGGTCTTCCTGTGTAGCTTAGACTGACCTCAAGCTCCTAATTCTCCTGCCTCAGCTTCTTGAGTGCTGGATTTAGGAACTCTTGAAGCTGTGCATTGTGTTGCATGCCTGTAATCTCAGCCCTTCTGAAGATGAGGTAGGAAGATCCTGAGTTTGAATTCTGACTGGGCAGTGTACATTGCAACTTAGTTAAGACCTGTCTCAAAATGAAAAATACCAACCCTCCCAAAACAAAAAATAACCAGGGGGCCGGGGAGATGGCTCAGTAGAATAAGTGCTTCCCTGGCAAGCAGAAGGGCCTGAGTTCAATCCCCGGTTCCTTCAAAATAAAATAAAGTAACCAGTAAGGGTGGGGAGTATAGCTCAGTGTGATGGTCCTGGGCTTGATTTCTCAGTGCCACTGAAAAAAGATATTATTAGGTATATCAGGTATCTGGATTATTTATCTCTCAAGAGAGGCAGTATTATTTTGTGTTTTTTTTCTGAAGAATGTTTTTTTGCCCAGTTTTAATCTGCTTTTGTCTTGAACTTCATATATAAGAACTTGAATTTCTGGTAAAATATTTATTTCTATTTTCCTTTGTACTTGATTTTCTTACAGTTCAAACAAGCTGTGTATAAACAGACCATGAAACTGTTTGCTGAGCTGGAAATTAAAAGAAAAGAGAGAGAAGCCAAAGAGATGCATGAAAGGTACATATATGTATATTTACTTAAAGCACAACTAAATTAGCTATGTTAAAAAAAAAAATTAAATAAATAAATAAATATATGGTACAGGGTCTGGCTGCATATTTTGTACTCATAGTGATCATCCTGTCTCAGCCTCCCCAGCACTGGCATTACAGGCATGTGCCACCATGCCTAGCTTCGGTGGCTGGCATGGCACACCTGGGATTCTGGGGCCAGGTATGGAACCCAGGTCCTTGCACTTGCCAGACAGGCACTTAGATTGCTCAGCTGTCTCCCCAGCCTTTTTTTTTCTTTTTCTCTTTTTGAGACAAGTTTTGCTATGTAGTTCAGGCTGGCCTTGAACTCACTGTGGTTCTCCTGTTTCAACTCAGAGAGTGCTGGGTTATAGGCATGTGCCACCATACCTGGCTGAGCAGTACATAATTTTAGAGACTGTCTAAAGTAGTTAGCCGAAATAGTCAAGCTTTTGAGTCCTCAGAGTAAGAAGTTTTTTATTCCGTTTTTGGGAAATACTGAATAGATCTGTCCATAGAGAATTTATTTACACAAGAATTCTGTGTTTTCTTCGTGACTTTCTGGAAATGAAATAAATAGACAATTAGTGAAGCCATTATATTGAATTTTCTTGGGACTTATGGCCAGAACTTTTGTGGGACTTGTCATTTCAGCTCTGGTGACGTGTAGTACTATATTATCTTTTTGTGGTCAGTACTTTTTTTTTTTTTTTGTGGTACCGGGGATTGAACTCAGGACCCTGCATTTGCCAGGCCATCACTTATTCTACTGAGCTATCTCCTCAGCCCTCTTTTTGTGGTCATAAGAAATACCAAGCCGGGCATGGTGGTGTGTGCCTATAATCCCAGCACTTGGGAGACTGAGGCAGGAGGATTGTTGTGAGTTGGAGACCAACCTGGGCTACAAAGTGAACTCAAGGCCAGCCTGAATTGCATAGGGAGACCCCATCTCAAAAAGACAAGAAAACCCTAAAAAACAAGTTTGATTTGTTTTCTACATTTATATTGTTGATTGGTGTTTAACAATAACTATATTTTTATGCTAGTTATATGAAAGGTCCTTACTGTAGAATTGAGTTTTTTTCAGAGATTTTAATCGAGAACCTTCACTATCATGTTCATTCCACTGAAATAAGGTGGTCTATGTTATTGACAAAGCTTTGTCACTGACTGTCACTAATTTCGTCACCAAACCTCAGATTGCTGTTCACAGGCTGTTTGATTACACTATCTGCCTATCTAGGTACCAAGCATATTTATATCTTTCTAAACCCCTACTCACAGTCTGATTTGCATGTTTTAGAATGAGACCTTCCTACAGATAATTGAGCCCTTTTAGAGAGCCGGGACCTGTGTACACTTCTGGTTGATGGGGACACATCTTAACTTGCAGTTAATACAGTCTATCAGCATCACATAAATACTTTGGCTGTTCTTTTCTCCTAGGAAACGACAAAGGGAAGAAGAGATTGAAGCTCAAGAAAAAGCCAAACGAGAAAGAGAGTGGCAGAAAAACTTTGAGGTAAATGGCCATGGTGGCCAGGCTTCTTATTCTGGAGTAAGGAAACTTGGCCCTGGGGCGTGTCCAGGGTTGAGCAGGGCAGGTAGAGGGAAATGGGGTTTGTGGGGAAGAGTGGTAACTGTACCAGCCGGGCCTGGTGCTGGCTCAGCCTCCTGGGAGCTCTGTGGCCTTGCCCATGACCAGGAGGATCCCCAAGGGGGTTTTGGGGGAGTGTGGTAGGTACAGCTGCCAAGTGGGCCTGAGAAAAATGGATTGCACACTTCATTTAGGGAATAAACATTGAGTAGCACCCTACTAAGAAGACTGTTAGTAGAGACTAAGGTTCTTGTGACCCCACTGTCCTTCCTATAGAGGGAACTTTTGAACTTGACTCCTCTTAGAAACCTTTAGGTGTTCAGCTAGTTTCTGAGTTGTAGCAACAGTTGGTCTTGCCTTTGAGGATATAGGACTTAAGGGAGGGGTGGCTAACCAGAGTCAATGCCTTTGTTTCTGTGCCCTTTCATGTATGAGAAGGAAGAAAACGAGTAGGCCGCTTCCTAACAAGGTGGAGATCGCTGTGTCTTTCTCAGCACAGCTGTGTTTTTGGGGGCAGTAAGAGGATATAGCTATATGGTTTTGAAGAAATAATTTAACCTCACTGTTACCATTTGTGAAATGTTAGTGGTAATCCATACAGCATTTAGCTTTTGTTACATATGTTTTGTTCGTTGAGATAGGGTCTCACTATGTAGTTGAGGCTGACCTTGAATTCACTATGTAGCCCAGGCAGGCCTCAAACTCGTGGTCATCCTCCTGCCTTAGCCTCCCAAGTGGGTAGGTGTGTGCTACCATGCTGGGCTATTACTTAGGTTTTGTGAGCGTTAGAAGTGATGTATGCCCTGAGTTCCACCGCAGCACTGTAAAGGTAAAACAAAAACAAAATCCAAAAGCTCAGAGGGCTCCAACAAATGGAGGTTGTGTTGTGCTGTGTTAGTGGCTATGTCCGGCTCTTCCATCCTGGAGCTCATCCTGCCTTCTAGAGACAGTGTCCTTCTTTCCAGAGCCCTGGAAATGAAAGCAAAACTCTTGTTTTTTTGAGATAGAGTCTCACTGTGTAGTTCAGGCTGACCTCAAGCAGCAATCCTCCAGCAGCAGCCTCTGGAATGCTGGGATTGCACATGTGTGCCACCATGTCTGATGAGAGTACAACTTTGCTGGCCCAGGCTGGGGTACAGGAGCATGGGGAGATGGCAGGGAAGGTTCTAGTCTCTTCACCTCAAACTTTTTTTGGTCCTTTCTCCTTAGGAAAGTCGAGATGGTCGGGTGGACAGCTGGCGAAACTTCCAAGCAAATACAAAGGGGAAGAAAGAAAAGAAAAATCGGACCTTCCTGAGACCACCAAAAGTGAAAATGGAGCAGCGCGAGTGACCGGCTGGGTCCAGCCGCAGAACCCTGCCCTGGCTCTTTCTTTCCTGCTTTGAAGGACTCATTCTTTCCTCCCACCTCCACCCAAACATAGAGTAGTATTTGCTTTTTAGTCCATTTTGTTTTCAATACAATTTAATATCAATCAGAGTAATTCTTTTGTACATTGAAAGGAGGGGCATGGTTTTAAAAAAAAAAAAAACCTCCCCGATCCCTCACCCCTAGAACAACCAGGATTGGAAGGTGCCACCATTGATGCTGCCTTCTCTTCCCACAGCCTGTAACTTAATGTTTTGTACTTCACTGAATTGCGATGTTTAGAAACTTCATGTATAGTTCGTGGAAATCATCCAATTAAACATATTGCTTACAGTGGTGTTCCTGTGACTTCAGAGATGAACCTGGGCCACCTTAGGAAGCCCCTCCGTGTTGCTTGTTTGCTTCTGGCTCTGCCATTTTTTGAAGCTCCACATTGGTCAGGAAAGGCAGTATGGGCATGGAGGACACGGAACAGTCAGTGGCCTAAAGCTTTGCTGTCCTGGTGTTTAGCACGTGCCCTTCTGTCTAGCCGTCAGAGTGGAATGAGGCTTCTGGCCACCCGAACCTGTCCACTCTCCAGAGAGCTAGTCATCCTCCATCCATCCCCTAGTACTGTTGTGTCTTGCTGATCTGCTACATCTGTTAGTGGTGGTACTCATTACATATAATAATTTTTTTACCCAAACCATCAGGTGTTATTCCAAGGCAAGGTCTCTTATCAGGCTTGATCTAATCCTGAAATGCTTTGGGTTGGAGACACACAACACAGTTTCCTACAGTGTATTTGCTGGACCTTGTGTTTTCATTGATAAAATGGGAGTAGGAACTACTGTGGCAGGGACTGGGGATGTAGCTCAATAGCAGAGGGCCTGCCTAGCCTGTACAAGGGCCTGAATTTGATCCCTAGTACCACTAAACAAAACCAAAATAAAGTTAATTACTATGGCAACTTTTAGGGGAAGATTCCCTATGGCATTCTAAGATAGCTACTGTATACTTATTGGGTGTTAGTATTTTGTTATCCTATGTATATCATTTTGAGGAAAAATTAATGCATAAAAGCATCTCCAGCTTAGGGTGTGTGCTCGGATGTCTGTTGTGGGAGGGGCATAAAGGAAGTTGAAAGTGACACAGAATGCAAAATATGAGAAACTGGATGACTCAGAATGAGACTGCAATGTCTTGTGGATGAGTGAACAGGTACATAGACTTGTGAAAGGGACAGTGTAATCATATTGGGGGATTTCTACAACTTTGATTTACTTCTCTGTGGAAGGAGGTAGTAGCTTGGGTATCCACCTTCCTTCTAAGTGAAACATTGAAGCCACTCGTGATTGAACACGCAGGGGTGAGTGTGGCTCTGGTGAATAACAGGAGGGAGCTGGAAAGGGGTTACCCTGCAGAGCTAACACAGGTCATGAGGGAGTGCTGCCTGCCAGTGCAGGGAGTAGCCCTGGCTTTCTAGGCAGGCAAAGTGACGCTGACCATGTGGTGCCTTGCATCTGCCCTTCCTTAGAGGTTAAGGGATTATTAAGTGAAACCATCTGCAAGCTCATCCTCACTCTCAGAAGGTGTGCCAGGGCACGAGGTGTGGTGGGTGGTACACAGCTGTAATTGCAGCTACTTTGGAGATAAACCAGAGAACTGCAAGTCAAATCTAGTCTGGGCAGCATAAGAGTTGTCTCAAAAAAACCAAACCAAAACAAAAAACGATGCTATTAATCTCATTTGCAGGTGTGTTTGTTTATTCAACAAATGCTGGTTAAAAATAAAATGGTGAGAGTTGGGTGTGGTAATGCATGCCTGTAATCATAAGTTCAAGGCCAGCCTGGGCTACAAAACAAGACCCTGTCTCAAAAAAACCAACATGCTGATCATCAGTGGGTCCCTACTGCCTACTTCACAGCTGGGGCGTATAGGCAAGGGAATAGGTAGAAAAATCTCGAAAACCTTGTGGTTTTGATTTGGAACATTCCCGTCATGTGCTCAGAGGTGGGGATTGTGGAAGCTGATTGGACTAAGGGGATGCCACAGCTGCCACTGAGATGGGTTCACTTTTTGATTCTAGTGGGTCTGGTCGGAAGAGGTGGGTCACTGGGACCACCCCCAGAAGGGTCTACCTTACTGGCTCCTTCCTTGTCTCTTCCTGGCAACCCTGATGTGAGCCGCTTTTCCTCCACCAGACCCTTCCATCATGCCTTCCTGCCATGGGGTTGGCCAACTGTGGACTGAAAATTCAAGCCAAAATTAACCTGTCCTTTAATTTGTAGGTGTTGGTATTGTGTTTCAGTATCAAAGAAAGTGACTAAGACAGGCACAACTCACTGCTTCAAGGAAAATACTCCTTTGATCTTGTCTTTGGCAGCCAGGGGGATGTTTCCTGGAGAAAGTAACCTGTTAAGTTGGAACCAAGAAGCTGATGCATCAGTTAGGAATGTTTTCAGCTGTCAGGGAAACTGGCAAATGGGGAAATACTTGGTTTATGTAAATCTGGACGCAGGCAGTTTCAGGTGTTCATAGCTCAGTGACCACCAAGGAAACAGATTCTTCCTGTGGCTGTCCTCTGGAGGGTTTGTCATCTTCCAGCTGTAGAAAGCCTGTGCCAGCACCACACCTCCTACCTAACAAACTGTAAGCAGGAAGAATTCAGCCGAGAAGCAGTTTTCTCAGATGTCATTGCCGGGGGAATGAGTCGCATGGATGCTTCCACAGGTGAGTTTGGCTGTGAAAGCAGTAAAGGAGAGTGAGCAGGTAGTAGTCAAAACTTTCCTCAGGGAGGGACACTGTGGTTCCTACTGAAAGAAAATGTCAGCAAGGAAGAAAGGAAGGTCTGTCAACAAACTGTGGACTTGGGAAGATGTCTCTGTCAGAGGGACCATCAGTCAGCTCTGTAAAGGGCCTGGTAGTGAGAGTGTAACCCACTGGGGGAATTGAACATTCTTTGCTGTGCCAGGAGCACAGGCGCCAGGGGAGGTGAGATCGGATAGTGAAGTCATATGAGGGAATAAGGGCTCTAGTCAGGACGGTATTTTCCTAGAAGAACCAAAGTCTTCCCACTTCTTTCTGCCTCAGTTTGGTCCCAGACCTGCCTGGAAGGTTAGCAGTGGTCCCAGTTCTGCTCATAATCCTGCTGAGAGCAGTTTTTTTAAGGATGTCCTGGCTAGTGAGAGGAGGAATGTGTGCGTGTGGGGCTGGGGAGGCACCAAACTGAGGTAGTGTTGTCAAGACCTGACCTAGGGCAGGACTGTCAGAGCCTCTGCGGCTCCTTCTCCGTGAGGAAGCTGAGGGCAGTTCTGGGCAGGAGAGGCTTGTTGGAAGATCCAGGGCCCAGGGTGTGAGAGGCTGGATGAGGCACTCCACTCCTCTTCCTGTGGTTTGCTGTGAATAATGGAGCAGAGTCACCACCCCACACCTCCATCTGTGCTGCCAGCCGCTGCCCAGGCACCACCGAGTGCCAGTGAAGGGGAAGGAGCCAGTCAGGGAGAGAGTCCTGGCATTGGGGTCAGCGATGACATCAACGCTGAACCTCACCTTCCTTGGGCATAAAGTGAAAATTGTTATTTATTTTGGTGGAACCACAGATTGAACTCAGGCCCTTGCGCTTGCCAACGCTTCCCTGGCAAGCGCAAGGGCCTGAGTTCAATCCCTGGTTCCACCAAAATAAATAAATAAATAAAAATAAATAACAATTTGCACTTTATGCACAAGGAATTTATTGTGGTACTGCTGACTGAACCCAAATCCTTCACGTTGTGCTACATCCCCAGCCTTTTTCTAATTTTTTTTTATCTTGAGACAGGATCTTACTAACTGACTAAGTTGTCCAGGCTGGGCTCAGCTCAAACTTTTGATCCTCTTGCTTTAGCCTCTCTCACAAGGCACATGCTTGACTGAGAATTGCACCTTTAAAACAAAGTGTAGAGTCATGTGTGGTGACTGGTGCCTGGAGTCCCGGCTACCAGGGAGGTTGACACGGGTTTTACTTCAGCGCAGGAGCTCGAGGCCAGCTTGGGCAGCAAAGCAGAATGCTATCTCAACAAGCAAAAACAAAATGTTGACACAAGACAAGTCATTGTCCTTTGCAGTCTGGTCCCCTGTGGCCTCTCAGTTGCCTCCCTAGCTGGGCAGAGCTTCTGGCCCTTTTGCCCCCCTGGGGTCCTGTGGAGTAGAAGGCAGCATGGGAAGCTGCTCACAAGCCTGGGCCCGCTAAGAATGTGGAACCTTTTCCTTCCCGTCTCCTTCAGCCCCATCCTAGCACAACCAGTTTCTCTGCCCCTTGCCGGAAATTGGAACTGGGGCCCAGGGCTCCATGGGTGTGTTGAGCACAGTGGCCTTGGAGGCATCTTTTGAACAATCTGCTTTGTCACTCGCAAACTTTGGGGACCCGGTGAATCATTTCTCACTCTGGGTTTGGTTACCCTCTCTTAGGCAAAATGAGGATAAAACCTCTATTTCTCTCCTATGAAGTCTAGTGAGGTTCTGTGTAGGGACAGGCAAAAGAGCAGATTTCCAATGGACTGAAGGTTAGTTTCGTTTTTGTGTTGGGCATCAAACCCAGCACCTCACACAAACCAGATCACTCTTCTATAGCTGAATCACACTCCCAACCCTGGGGGTTTGCTTCTTTTTGTTGTTGTTATTTATTTGTTTGAGACAGGATCTGCCTAGGTTGCCCATGCTGGTGTCTAAATTTCCGGTCTCAAGTAATCCTCTTGTCCCAAGTAGCTGGGATGGCAGATACCCCATTGCAGACCGGAGTGCAAGTCCTGCTGCACTTCAGACTGAGAGATCTTGTGCAAGTCTTGCAGCTCCTCTGAGGCTCAGCTTCCTCTCTCACATGTGTTGCCTGATGGTTGACTAAATTGGAGAAACCCTGCAGTGTGGGACACAATAGCAGCTCCTCCCTGCCCACTTCCCCAGTAGGGTCTCCCCGAGAACACCGCAGATGCTTTCTGGTCTCTGAAGATCAACTTCAGAATTCAGGGTGAGGTTCTTGTGAGCGTGTGCATGTTTGGTGAGGAGACAGCTGGAAGTTCAATGGGCTCCCAGGTTAACTCAGACATGGTTGGCACCATCAGGCAATGACAGGAGTTAGAGGCTTGGGAGAGCTTGGGGTTCCCTCAGGATGACAGGACGGTCACTCTATCCCTGTGGTTCAGTGGGGCAGTGATTCTCAAGGTGGGAAATAAGTTTTCACAGCTAGAAAGACACCTTCATATGACTGAATTCTCCTCCCTCAACGAGATTCTCAGAGTCCTACCGAGTCTGCTCAGCTTCATGGATGCTTCTGTGGAATCCTCTGGGGGCTTGCTAACATTTTATTTGCTGGGCCC